TTATACAATACGCCTGTTGTAGTCAGAGTTTGCAAGGGAAACAATTTAATACAGTACACATAATTTATAGGATTATTTTATATTAGTCACCCAAAGAGTCAAATACAAAAGAATGCAGGAAATCTGTCCACACACTAGAGACCCAAAGAATCCCGCTGAGGGCCTGGATCTCACAGCAACGTCCTGCATGAGCCCAGCTGAAGACCTAGAGCCCATCACAATGCCCCCTACAAGTCCAGCTGGAGACCAAGAGCCCACAACAATGTCTCACGCAAGTCTGTTTCACAGATCTGTGCTGGGAAGGCCCAACGTTCAGTGGCAGAAGCTAGAAAGTCTATGCCAGTAGGATAAAGGATCCGTCCCAGCAGGCTGAGGGATCTGCACTGGAGCCAGGAAGTGACACTCAAAGTAAGGACCAGAGCTCCCCTGAAAAGTACCACAGCCATCCTCAGTGACAGCAAGGTCCGGAGCTCCTCTGATGAAAGCAGCCAAGTTCATACCAGGAAAGCCAGGGCGACAAGCTTCTCCAGGAGATTGGAAAGCACACCATCTTCCCATCCACAGCCAGGAAGTGATGATGCTCAAAGTAAGGACCAGAGCTCCCCCAAAGTGAACCACAGCTGTCCTCAGCAACAACGAGGTCCTCCTGGAGGACCTCTTCGCTTTTCCTTTTTATGCTGTTGGCAACAATCCTCAGGTGGGCCCTCCACACACAGGACCACACTGATTCAGTTCAGCAGGGTGTTGCAAGTTGACCACCAGTTGTCAATCCATTACAGCGGATTAAAACATTACATGGTACCCCATTATGTACTTTTTTTTCTTGGTTCTTTTCCGGTATCGGGAATCGAACTCACGACCTCACGCTTGCCAGGCAGGCGCTGTACCGCTGAGCTAAGTCCTCAGCCCCTCCATTATGTACTTTTTCGTATCTTTGTACATCAGTTAAAAATAAATTTATTTTTTTTAAATGTGTGGTGGATAGGCATACATTAGTGCTAAGCTTTCTGGGAGCACAAGTCCCTCTGTTTATGTCCATGTTTCCCAGTTACATCTACATCAATAAGTGCTCTGTAAATCTACTGAATGGTTGAATATGAATTTATTCACTTAAATACAAAAACAAACAAGTCCCAGATGCCCATTTGCTGCTTCTTGCTCACCAGTGATTCCCAACCATCTAACTGACTTTGGCCCGGTGTAGAAAAATGCTCGTTCACTTCCCAGCCCTCCTTTCCCTATTATCCTCAGGATACTGGGAATCTATGGAGAGCACACAGGCACTTAGTACACACACACACACACACACACACACACACACACACACAACCCCACTTCCCTATCCTTTAGCCTCCTCTCTGTTACGAGAAAGTGTGTCTTCCTGCCAAGTTGTCCTTCACCCTCCCTTCTCTTCAGCACCCCCATCTCTTCTCCCAACTCTCTTCTAAAGCCTATTTTCTGGGGAGCCCTCTTTGACTTATTCTGAGGCAGTTTTCCCTTTCTGTTGAGCCCTGGCCACACCTGGGCCTCTTACTCTGCCAAAAACAGAGGAAGAAGAGAGTCTGATGCTGAAGGGCTGGAAGGAACCAAAAGTCCCCCTTGGCAGACTGAGCTAGCTTGAGTCCCCGAGCAATGGTGAAGCCTCCGGAGGAGTTACAATGCCCTCCTCTACCTCTCGACCCCCTTGCCTAAGACTGCCTTGGTTCTTACTCCAAAATGCTAATATTTACTTGTATCAGTTCCAAACTCCTTACATGGGCTGGAAGCTGGGGCTCCAAAGATAAAGTTGGGGGGATGTGCTCTTAAATCATCTACAGTCTAACTAGAAATATAAGACACAAAAAAGATAAACAAAAATTTTTAAAACAGCAACATAAACTGGGCATGGTGATGCCGCCTGTAATACCAGCACTTGGGAGACTGAGGCAGGAGGATCACTACAAGTTTGAAGCCAGCCTGGGCTACAAAGTGAGTTCAAGGCCAGCCTGAACTGCATAGTGAGACCCTGTCTCAAAAAGACAAAAACAAAACAGAAATGTGGTTGAATTCAGAAGATAAGACCTCAGGTGGTCAAGTCAATGGGAAAGGGCAAATTCCTGCTTGTGATAAGAGGAAGGAGAGGAGGGTTTAGGCCGTGTGAGCTGAAAGCTCAGAGACCTAGGGAAGAAACTGCCTATGAAAACCAGTTTTGCCTCCCCTTCACTTCCCCTTATCTCAACCTAAGATAAAAAACTGCCTGAGGCTTCACAGGGAGGTGATCAACCAGCTGGCAGAATCAGAGAGTGTATTCCAGGGCTACTGTCTGCAGGGCTGAAGGCCTTTGAAGAGGAAACAGTCACACGGATCAGATCTGCACTTCTGCAGGACCAGTTTAGAGAGTGTGAGGGGACAGATGGTAGAAAACGGGCCGGAAGCCAGGTGGGATGGCTCACACCTGCAATCCCAGCACTTTGGAGGATTGCTGGGAGTTCTAGGCCAGCCTGGACTGCACAATGAGATGCTGTCTCAGAGGGAAAAAAAAAAAAGACAGGCTGGAGATCACCTAGGGTTATAATCATACCCATCAGGCTCACAGCAGACTCAGGGCCCAGGTCATCACACGCTCATTATTCTTTCTCCCTGGGTCTTCCTGTCTGTGGACTGTACCGCAAAATTTCGCTTCATGCTGGGTTTCCTGCAGAGGAATAGGGATAACGTGTTTCCCATTCTTTTATGTGTTCCATACTCAGGCCTGTGACCCTCTTCTCCAGTTTAGGGCTGAAATGGTCCAGGCAGGCCAATCTCCCTACCTTTGTTCTCAAAAGGAAGTCACACCTAAGGATGCCATGGACTTGGAGGCATTGAGAGATGCAGAGTATCAGGACATCAGGACATAAGATGTAGCAGGTGGAGGAAGTCCTACCTGAGTTTATTTATGAACAAATTTAAGATAGCCCATGCTGTTTAGTCTTTCCTCAGGCCTTAGCAGAAGCTTCTCAACAAATTTTTTTTTTTTTTTTTTTTTTTTTTTTCTAGTACCGGGAATCAAACTCACGACCTTGTGCTTGCCAGGCAGGTGCTGTGCCGCTGAGCTAAATCCCCAGCCCCATCTCAGCAAACACTTCATACACAGACTAGGCCCACACCCCAGCCCAGGCTGTCCAGTATGTGCTTCAGATCTCTGTCCTGGGTGCTAAGGCCTCCCAAAGGGAAGAAAAGCAGAGTTCAAGAGCCCCAGTCTGCGGGGAGACTCGTTAGACCCCCAGCACAGCTGGGCACATGGCCTTGGTCATTTATACCTAGGAATGGGGAGCCTGGGAAGGGCAGTGCACAGCTGTGCACTACCTGGGAACCCCCACCCCTCCCAGACAACAGGGAGGGACAATCAGAAGGGGGAACATGCTGATCGAGGAGGGAGTGGAGTGGTAGATGTTAGAGGTATCAGTATTGGGTTTTCTCTGCGGCAGCACACCATGGAGAACATAAAAGGCATACTGGGACCCTGGAAGGAGCCACCTCTTTCCCCTTCCAACTTCCCACAGGCTTTTCCATCTTATTCAGGAGCAAGAGGCTGGAAGCCGGGGAAGATGCTAGCTGAACCAGTGTGGGGCAAAAAGAAAAAGGGGTCTGGGGTCAGGAATCAAGCTCCCCAGCTGGGGGTCAGAGCTTGGAGCAGGAGGTCACAGCATTGGTGGAGGGCAGCCGCTGCCCTCCCTTTCTCCCCTCTGCGTGTCCAGGCTCAGGTCAACCGAAAAGCACCACTTCCCCAACGCAGACACTAAGGGGGCGCGGGGAGAGGGGCGCGGCACGGAGGCTCTTTTTATTTTGTATTTGCCTAAAAGTTCAGGAAGCCCTTGCTGACATTCTTGCTTGGGGGCCCAGAATTTAAACTTAGTCACTGCCCAGAGCCCTTGTTTTAGGAAAGAATGAGGCGGCTGTTGCATAACCCAGAGCTGGGCGGGCCTGGGCTGCTGAGGGAAACAGTCCCTCTTCCACCCTAGCTCGCTAGCTCGGAGACTGGGATGGGTGGGTCGGGAGGGCCGAGGGAGCCTCGGAGAAAGGGCAGGCAAGCGGGAGGTGGCGAGGACCAGTCCCTCCTCAGAGTCCCCTGGGCAGAGCACGGGCTGAGCAATCTAGAGACCCCACTGGCCGACTGAGGAGAGGGACCAGTCTTGGGAAAGGAGCACAGAGGGCCAGGCTGGCCCGAGGGACAAAGGTGAGGGTGAGGTGGGGTCTGCAGTCTGGTACTGCCCAGGAGCACCCAGCACACAGAGGAACATCCTGCTTCTCTCACTGTGCCCACCTCACCCCTAGAGTTCAACTGGCCCATCCCCTGCTTCCCTTGCCCCCCCCCCAGATGTCGAAACAGCTCTCACCTCTGTGCCCCCAGCCTCTCTGCCAAGCCTCCCAGCTGACCCCCACCACGCCAGGGTTTATTCGAGGTGTCATCGTGGCACCCGGGCCCCATTTCACCCCCGGCTCCCCCAACCCCTTGCACCCTCGGACCCCAGTCCCGAGCCCCACAGCTGTTTTCTCTACAGACCCGTCTCAGGTCACTTTCTCCGGTCCCCTCCCCAGTTTGGCCCTTTCTCCGCCAACACACACACCCCGTCTCCATCTTTCCTCTCTCTCCCCTCGGCCCGCGGGCCCCTCAGGGCGCCCCCAACCCACCTCAGCTCACTCTGGGCCCCCATCCCCGCACTTCCCACCCCTCCACCCTCCTAACTGGGCCGTAGGTCTCCCCTTCCTCTGGCTCGCGTCTTTCTCTCCTCCCGCCGCCCCACCCGCCCGTGCCTCCGGCCAGCTGCACAGCTCCCAAATTCCGGGCGAGATTCCCAGGACAAAGCAAGAGAAATCAGAGCAATTCGGGAAGTAAACAGAAACTGGAAAGGAGTGGGGAGAGGAACGTGGGGAGGACCCAGGTGGTGGTGTGTGGGGGACTCTCCGGTCCCACCCAGTTTTGGGAATGCCCCAGCCCTCTCCCGCCTCCCCCTTCACCTGGCTCTTAAAGGGCCCGGCCCCTGACCGGAGGCTACTTAAGGCAGAGGGGCGGCGGCAGGCAGCAGCTGCGCTAGGACTGCTCTGGGAGGAGTGGACGGGGCAAAACTCCTGACCATGATCCCCGACGGGCTGCTGCCGCCGCTGCTGTTGCTAACTCTGCTGCTCTCTGCCTGCCCAGGAGGCGCCTTGGCACGGTGCCCAGGCTGTGGGCAGGGGGTGCAGGCGGGCTGTCAGGAGGGCTGCGTGGAGGAGGAGGATGGGGGGCTGCCGCCGGCCGAGAGTTGTGCAGAAGCCAAGGGCTGTGAGAGGAGAGAAGGGCAGCAGTGCGGGGTCTACACCCCGTTCTGCGCCCCAGGACTGCAGTGCCGGCCGCCCGAGGGCCAGGAGGAGCCTTTGCGGGCGCTGCTGATGGGCCGCGGCCGCTGTCGCCCGGCCCGAGCGCCCACGGGTGAGTCCGCGCCCCGCCCCCGCCCCGCCCCCGAGAGCCCAGCCACTGCCCCCGCGGGGCTGGGGAGACAGAGGCCCTGGGGAAGGGGGCACACTGGAGGGAACAGCGGCAAACACTGGGGGTAGGGAAGAAGGCTGGGGTGTGGCTAGGAGACTTGGAGATAAAGCAGAGAGGTCCGGGGCTCCCAACTTTTTGTTCCCTTTTTATCTTTCTTTGAGAGGGAAGGACTGGAGCCGGAGGAATGCAGAGGTTTAGGGGCACCCTGGCCTCCCAAGCGGGAGACAGGACCGTCTTCACCTGGAGAAGAAAAGGGGGTCCCAGACTCCCCATTTCCGTCCATGCTGAGAAGTGTCTTCTCTTAATGCCGCTGTTGAAAGCGCAGGAACCTTAGGTGTAAGGGAGAAGATGCTGGGCATCGTAAACTGCGATCAGCATGGGCTCCGGAGGGCCTGGGAGGGAGGAGTGGAAAAGAGGGAATTTGCCAAATCTGGCTTATAATTCAATCCTGCTCAGGACCACCCCGCCCTACCCCAGGGAAGAAGAGTGGGAGGCTGAGTCACAGAAGTGAGTCAGCTCCCCAAAGATGGGGGGCAGCCGGAGATGCAAACCACCGCACAGCAGACCCACCGGAGCTCCTGATTTCTATCCTGAGAGGGATGAAAACTTAACTTGCAGTTTCTTTCAGTCCCAAGAGCCTGAATCCACGCTTCTGGGCATCCTCTTAGAAGGGGTGGTGGGTGAGCAGGCGAAGACAGTTTGGGACATGAGCATGGTTGGGAGCTAAATGCAGGGAATGAGGGAAGAGATGTGAGGTGAGGCGCGGTCCTTGCGGGGGAAAGGATTAGGGTCAGGGCTACAGAGGAAACGGCCCTTGGGTTGAAAGTGAGAAGGTCCCTTCAGGGGTGCTAATATCTAATTCTATGGCCTAAGCAAAACAAGCATGATAGTACACACCTGTAATCCCAGCACTTGGGAGGCTGAGGCAGGAGGATCATCGTGAGTTCAAGGCCACCCCGGGCTACAAAGTGAGCTCAAGGCCAGCCTGAACTGCATAGTGAGACCCTGTCTCAAAAAGACAAAAAAATAAAAAATAAAGGTATATGGGCTGGCAAATTCCAGGCAGCGCATGCTCCCCTCCCTGCCTTATCCTAACCCCAACCTATTTCCTCACCCCTTCGCAGTCTTCCCACCCCACCCACCCAACTCTCTCCAGAGCCAGGAGCAACCTGCACATTGAAAACCTCTCATTCCCAAACCTCTGCAACCTGCTTCAGCCCATCCTGGTTAAGGGCTGAATCCAGATGCCCCTGAGACCTCTGATGTTGAACTGGTCTGAGCCACAAGAGACCAAAAGGGAGAGGTCCCCACTGCAGTGCCCCAAAAGTAACCATATCTCAGGCCTGGGAGGGGTGGGCTGAGTCACAGCAGGGTCACAGCTAGGACACACATTCCACTTGGGTCCCTGTTGACCTTCTCCTACGTCCGTTACTCTTCTGCCCCATCTCCCTGGCTCTGCGCATCCTCTTGCGGCCACTGGTGGAACAGCCAGTTCTTTTTTTTTTTTTTTACACTAAGTCCAATGCCTCATAATAACCTCATAATAAAGTGGGGCTTTGTACTTGTTCTCAAATTTTACTTTTCTCTCTCTCCCTCTCTCTTTCTTTCTTTTTTCTTTTTAAGATGCATGAGAAGGATTTATTAGAGGTAGATATAGGACACACTCATGGACGGAGTGCAGGTACTCAAAGAAATGAGGCACCTCCGTTTTTATTTTTCAAAATGCTTCCCTTTACAACAGGTGTGGTGGCACACACCTCTGATCCCAACACTCAGGAGGCTGAGGCAGGAAGATTGCTGAGAGCTCAAGGCTACCTTGGGCTACGTAGTGAGTTCAAGGACAGCCTGAACTACAGAGTGAGACCCTGTCTCAGAACAAAACAAAACACCAAGAAACCAAAAACCTGAAAGCAAAATGCTTCCCCCTTATAAAAGTTAAAATTATTCTGGGGAATATTGTCAGGAAAAATGATTTAACTATTTTTCAGATAAAGAAACTGCAACCAGGATAAGGTAACAGGGAAGTTAGGTTCTAAACCCTCTGTTTTCCCCTAATCTGTGAAGCTCACTGCCGTTCCCACTTCAGTGAGTTGGGGTGGGCAAGACTTTCCTCTACGTGGTGCTGGTCTTTGGCACTTGGCTGATTTCTGGACTCTTCTCCTGTCCCTCCTGTGACCACAGAGGAGACTCTGAAGGAGAATAAACCCCATGGAAGTGCCACTCGCCCCCAGGATGTGAACCGCAGAGACCAACAGAAGAATCCAGGAACCTCTACTACTCCGGCCAGGCCGAATGCTGGGGCTGTCCAAGACACTGAGATGGTGCATCTGGGGCTGGAGGAAGGGGAGGGTGGGACGCCCTCAGACCCGCAGGGGCTTGGAGAGGTCCCCAGTGCCAGTCCTGGGACCCTGGCTCGTTGGGTTCTGAGCCACAACTCTTCCTCCCCAGGGCCCCTGCCGCAGACACCTAGACTCAGTGCTGCAGCAACTCCAGACTGAGATCTTTCGAGGGTCTCAAACCCTCTATGTGCCTAACTGTGACCACCGAGGCTTCTACCGGAAGCGGCAGGTAAGACGACTGCTCTCCTCCCTAGTACAAGGTCCTGCCAGGGAGTGGAGAAAAGTGCTCAGAGTCACATACATAAAGACACTGCCCCTCCATTTCTGCATCTTCCAATGTGAGAACCCGCACAGACATCATGAATATCCACCCATACATTGTAGTAGAGGACTGAAAGTCCCCGAGGAGTGGCCTTTTCTTGGCTCTCAAACCTGAAGCTTCAGAATCCCATGGAGGGCCTGTGAACACATGGGTGCCTGAGGCCACCCTACCTGCAGTTTCTGACTTAGTAGGTCTGGGTAAGCCTGAGAATTTGCGTTTCTGGAACAGAGATTTTTTTTTTTTGTACTGGGACTCCAACTCAGGACCTTGCGCTTGCCAGGCAGGTGCTTATGCCACTGAGCTATATCCCCGGCAGAATTTGCCATTTCTGATACATTCTCTTGTGTGCTGGTGCTGTTGAGAACCACACTGAAAACTACTGTTGTTTTGTTTTGTTTTGTTTTGTTTTGTTTTGTTTTGTTTTGTTTTGTTTTAAGATAGGGTTTGGCTATGCAGTTCAGGCTGGACTTGAGCTCACTTTGTTGCCCAGGCTGGTCTCGAACTCCCAACGATCCTCCTGCCTCAGCCTCCCAAGTGCTGGGATTACAGGCGTGCACCACCACGCCTGTCAAAACTGTTCTGAGTGGGTGAAGAGGGGGACACAGGCTGCCATCCTGAGAAACTCTCAGGCTTCAGAGTCCCCTTCCTTCTCCTCTGCTGGAAGCCTTGGCCTCACTCCTGATCTATGTGCCCCCTCCGCAGTGTCGCTCCTCACAGAGGCAGCGCCGAGGTCCCTGCTGGTGTGTGGATCGAATGGGCCAGCCCCTGCCAGGCTCTGCAGAAGGCAACGGAAGCGCACACTGCCCCGGAAGCAGCGGCTGAAGTGGGGTGGGGCTGCAGGGCCACCAACAGGAGCATGCGGCTATTCTCTGGGGCTACAGGTTGGGTGATGAGTAACTTGGGGGCTCTGGGCCTCAGGAATACCTTCAGGCTCTGTCCCATTGTCCCCCTAACTCCTGGCCCCTTACACATCTAGTTGGAAAGATTGCTGGTGTCAGCTCGAAGTGTTAATAAAGCTGTGTTGGGGTCTCTGGTCTATGTCTCTCTGTCCACCTTTCACAGTTCTGGAGCCTGCGCAATTTCTCTGCCCTTCAGGGCAGCACATGCGGAGCATTCGTCCCTTCCTAACCATGGACCCTTCCTAACCTTCAGGACCCCCTACTGCGCTCTGAATGCAGAGGTGGAGACACAGGCTCCGCGCCCTCGGGTGTCACCCAGCCGCACACTGGGGGTTGGAGGTGGGGAGGCAGAGATCATGGCCTGCATCAGAGGTTGTGACCTTCTTTCCCACACTGGTCTTTGGCCATAAGGGAGGAGGAGGATTAATAGTTAATCCCCAGCAGGAACTCAGCAAAGAGGAACTTTCAAAGCACTTGTGTCTGTTACTTCCTGTGAAAAAGGAAGGAAAGTATTATTTACTGAGCTCATCCCATGGGCCAGGCCCCAGACAGTGTGTTTTACCTGGACTACCTTATTTTTTGCTGACAAGAACTTGGTGAGATAGGGAGATTTTGCCCCTATTTTTCAGAGGAAGCTTAAAAAGTTTGGGTCCCTTGCCTGAAATCATGAGGGGGTTTGAGCCTGGTTCTTCCATATGTAGCAACACCCAGCTCTCCTTCCATGGTGTTTGTTTGGCCTCCTTTCCACCCCCATGCTAAGCCAGGCAGGTACAGGGAAGAACAGATGTTCAGGGGCCCTGGAGAGGCTCAAGTGTTGTGAGTGCCACGCTCATCAGAATATTATTGTGTGTGTGTCACACACCCCATCCCATGATCACATCACACACTCCATCTCATGGTCTCAGGAAGCTGTGTGCAGTGACAGCCTCCTCCCTGACCTTTAGCCTGCAGGACAGGGGCTAGAGGGTGAGCCATGCTATGTGATGAGCTCCAGGGAGGCAGTCTCCCTCCTAGTCACCGGTGTAGCCACTGGCCCTGTGGCCAGGATGACAACAGGCTTAGAGCTGGCCGGCTGGGTGGTGGCCAGGGTGTTGAGGGGATGTGGTCACCCCTGTGACAGCCAGCAGAGCAGAGCCAGGATCTGATAAGCGCTGCGTTTAGATAACCTGTCCTCCTGAAAGGACTTTAGTCTTTGGAGCTGTTAGCTGAGCGGAGTGGGACAAGAGCTCGGCAGGCAGGCAGGCCGCGAAAGAAGGAAGGGAGCCAGCTGCCTACTGCCCTCCCAGGCCCACCATGGAGCCTTGTGGGGCCTGTCTGCGTGCACAGAGAAGAGAAGGGCTAGGAGGGGAGCAGGAGCAGGAGCAGGAGCAGCGACACTTCGGAGAAGGTGAGTCCTGTTGGGAGGGCATGAGGTACCGACAGGGGTAGGGCAGGGATGCATTATTGAGCAGAACCTCCCACTGCCTAACTTCAGTCCTTTCTTCTGGAATGGGAAGTGGTGGACCGCACTCACCTGGGTTCAACCCCTGACACCAATTTCTTTTTTTTTTTTTTTTTTTTAAAAAAAACCTTCCTGCCATCCTGGGAGGCCAGGGAAGGCAGATGCTGGCCTCTGCCTCACACTGCCCAGCCAGGTGGAGGAGAAAGGAATATTCACAATGCTGGCCTTGCCTTGTCTTTCTGACCCCTTAACCGCAGAGGGTAAATGGAGTAGCTTCCTGTTCCCTGGGTGCCCCGTTTCCAGTCATATCACCAGGTTCCCTCTTGCAATGGCTTCTTTACGCCCCCACAGAAATGACTTCCCCTTCTGTTGTTCTATCCAAGATACTAGATATTGACTGTGTCGGGGGCAGAGAGGCAGCTGAGCATTCAGACAGCATTTCCTGGTCAAAGGATGCCTCTGAGTTTGCAGAACGCTAACTCCACCCCCAGGAGTGTGTCCTTTAACCTCCTCCTCCTAGGAAACGCAGAGCCGCACAGAGCCCTAGACTTGGTGCAATGGACGCGACATATGGAGGTGAGGAACCTCACAGGTCAGAGGTCAAGGCGGACAGGTCATGGGGCGGTAGGAGGCAGGGTTAAAGACTGATTGGTGTGGTGATAAGGTGATGGCTCGAGTTCAAAGCTCAGATTAGAATTAAGGGTTAATATGGAGGTGTTCGAGACACAGGCCCTCAGGGCAAGGACCAAACATCAACTAGTGTAGTTTCTCTGCTAGTGTGGCCAGAGGTTGCTCCACGTGCGCTCCTGCATGTGTGCGCTCCTGCATGTGTGCGCTCCTGTGTGTGTGTGTGTGTGTGTGTGTGTGTGTGTGGTTTATTTGTTTATGTATTTTTTTATTTTTTTGTCCTTTTGAGACAGGGTCTCGCTATGCAGTTCAGGCTGAACTTGAGCTCACTCTGTAGCCCAGGCTGGCCTCAAAATCAAAACGATCCTTTTGCCTCAACCTCCCTAGTGCTGGGATTACAGGCATACACCACCACGCCCGGTTTTATTTTATTTATTTATTTATTTTTGTCTTGTGTGTGGTTTATTTGATACAGAGTCTAGCTATGTAGTTCAGGCTAGCCTTAAACTCCTCATCCTCCTATCTTGGCCTTCCAAGCGCTGGGATTACAGGTGTGCACCAGCATGCACACCAGTTTCCAGCTGTCATTCTTGATTCTCACTGCTGTCCCAGGAAACCTGGAGATAAGGGTGAAAAGGCCGGTCACCATTTATCCCTAGCACTTAGCGCTTGGCCCTGCATAGAGAGAAGCTTAGTAAATGTTTGGCAAGCGAAAGGCTGGATGGATGGGTAGAAGGACAGTGCGCTCTGCCCTGCCTTTTGTCCTCAGGCTGTGAAGAGGCAACTGCTGGAGCAAGCACAGGGCCAGCTGGTGGAACTGCTGGATCGGGCCATGAGGGAGGCTGTGCAGTCCTACCCGACACCAGATAGACTTCTATCCTCCGCTCCCTCTGATTCAAAGAGCAAGTGAGTCTGAGAATCTAGTGGGCTAGAAAGGACTGCAGGGTCTTCCTCCATTGTAAGGATCGCGAGCAATAGACATGCAGCCTGCGGCAGCCTTGGCACAACCTTGACTTCAGCCTCCTCTCTCCTTCCCTTATGGCCTTGTCTTCCTGACACTGCTCTCTAGCTTCTGGGCCTGCCTTGTTCCTCCCTGGCCCTGACCTTCCCCTGCTACCACCCTTAACTCAGAAGTACTGATCTCCCGCATGGCCCTGCCCTCTGCCCACCTGCCTTTGGGGTCTGACTCTGAATAACTGTCTCATTTCAGGAGCCGGGAGCCACCCCTTGGGAAACGAAAAGTTTTCATCATCCGAAAGTCTCTGCTTGAGTAAGTCAAGAGTGAAGATGGGATAGGAGGAAAAGAAAGGACTTCAGCTGGTGGCCCGGGGCAGCTTATTGCTCATGCCTAGGTTCTAGGTGGTTTGTGGGGAGGTTCTGGAGAGCATCTCTGAGGCTGTTTCCCCCATTTGCTTGGGCGTGGTTATAGAAGAAAAGCCACCAGGATTAGAAGTCTCAGTCACGTCCCAGCCATAGCTGGAATTTCTGGATCAGTAGGCCCCATGCCCTCGTGCGTACAGTTGCCTGAGTGATCCACTCAACCTTGAGTGTTCTGCTACACTGACCTTTGCAACCTGCCCCACCAGTGAGCTGATGGAGGTGCAGCATTTCCGTACCATCTACCACATGTTTGTTGCCGGCCTGTGTGTCTTCATCATCAGCACCCTGGCCATCGACTTCATTGATGAGGGCAGGTAGGCACCCTCCCACCCTAATAGGCACACAGATCAACCACTTGGTCCCTGTACCCCACCACCCCCCGGAACCAAGAAGGCATATATCCCCCTTTGATTATCGGACACACACCAGTGTGGCTTTCAGCAACTTCTCACCTAAAATACTCTTGGACTCCTTCCCTCCCCAGGCTTGGATGGGCCTTGGTCTGTCCGTGGAGGGACCGTTATTTTGAGGACACCGTGCCCCTCTCAAATTCTTCTCAATGACAGTCTTTTCTTGAGCCATTAGTAGGTGTGTGCACACATATGCACCCCCCCACACACACATACACTCCTTCGCAAGTTAGTGTATTTATTCAAGTAACCTCCACTGAGTAGCTATTGAGTACCAGCCCTGGGCCCAGAGAGGTGAAGGGGCAGCCCCCATCCAAAGCTATGAGCCAGTTTCAATATTGTGGGGAAAACAGATGTGCACACAAGTGCCTTGGCAGGTTGATTTTCCCACAGAGCACCCCTCCGCCATTCTGAGGATGAGCCCCAGGGCTACTGACCCCTGAGGACCGGTATTTTTGCCTCTGCCCTCAGGATCAGTAAGTGGTAAAAAGAAGAGAACCAGAATCTCCAGGTTCACATGTAGCATTTCTTTTTGGGAAACTTTTTGTTAATTACTAGTTTTACAAGGTTAAAATCTCAGTTAAAAGTTTACACAAGGAAGCTGGGTGTGGTGGTGCACGCCTGTAAGCCCAGCACTCGAGAGGCTGAGGCAGGAGGATCATTGCGAGTCTGAGACCAGCCTGGGCTATAATGTGAGCTCAAGGCCCGCCTGAACTGCATATCAAGACCCTGTCTCAAAAACAAAAACAAAAACAAAAAAAGAAAGAAAAAGGAAAAAGGAAAAAAAAGTTCACAAAGGGGCGCAGTTCAGTTGTAGAGCACTTGCCTAGCATGAGCAAAGCCCTGCACTAGGAGAGGGGTGCTCAAGTACAGTTTTTATTATAAAGTGACAGTGCTTCACCCCCTCAATCTGCAGTCTCTCCTCAGAAGTAACCGTTTTTGACAGTTCTAAGATTTCATCCAGAGCATTTGCCATGCATTCAATCAGTATGTATATAGGAACCAAAAAGAAGTATGTTGTAAGGGTTTTCATAAATAAAATATGTACCCATTACTTCGCAATTTGTTTTTATACCCCCTAACTTAGAGATATTTCCTTGTCAACCCATTGATCTTAATGACGAGAGTGTGGAGGTGCCAGATTTTATTCATTTAGTCCTTTATTAATGTATATTTAGGTTGTTTCCAATTATTTACCTTTACAAAGTATACACTTTTCTGTTGGGGGGAGGATGGTTTGTTTTGTTTTTTCATTTTTTTTTTTTCCGGTACCAGGAATCAAATTCACAACCTTGCGCTTGCCAGGCAGGCACTGTGCCGCTGAGCTAAATCCCCAGCCTCGAGGACAGTTTTTTTGAGACAGGGGTCTCACTATGTAGTTCATAGTGGCCTTGAATTCACTATGTAGCCCAAACTGGCCTCAAACTCATGGCAATCCTCCTGCTTCAGCCTCTTAAGAGGTTCATCCTTACTGGGATTACAGACATGCACCACCATGCCCAGTAAAGCACACACTCTTAACCTAGGGACAATCTGTGTTCTGTTAGCTTGAGTCTACAATACAGACACTCCAGAGGAACAAAACTAATGATAAATCGAAGTTAAATTCTGACTATCTCAAACCCTAACAGCTGTGTTACAGAGTACTGAGCCCTTTCAGAACACCATAGAATTCACAGAAGGCTCTAAAGATCATTTCGAGTTTCCTCTGGCAATGCCTTTCGCCCAAAGTCCTGGGTCACCGAGGCTTTACCCTGAACACCTTAGCAGATGCACCACACAGCCTTATCAAGACACCTCAGCTGGGGGCTGGGGATTTAGCTCAGCAGCAAAGCACCTGCCTGGCAAGCGCAAGGTCATGAGTTTGGTTCCCGGTACCGGAGAAAAACCAAAAAAAAAAAAAAAAAGGACACCTCAGCTTATCTTCCACGGTCAGGACACGGATGAGCTATACTTTTGTCTCCTCTCTACCTCCCCTACCCCAAGGCTGTTGCTAGAGTTTGATCTACTGATCTTCAGCTTCGGACAGCTGCCCCTGGCACTGGTGACGTGGGTCCCCATGTTCCTGTCCACTCTGTTGGTGCCCTACCAGGCCCTGTGGCTGTGGGCAAGGCCCCAGACTGGGGGCTCCTGGGCGCTGGGGGTGGCCCTGGGCTGTGTGCTGCTGGCTGCCCATGCTTCATTGCTCTGCGTCCTCCCGGTCCACATGGTCCTGAAGCATGAACTGCAGCCCGCTTCCCGCTGCGTGCTGGTCTTTGAACAGGTGAGGGTGAGGCCTGCTATGGGACTGGGGGATGGTGAGCTGCACTATACGGTGGGGGCTTGTGAAGAAGGCAGGGGATACGGTATTGGCAGGAATGGGGTTGACTGAGGATTTGAGAGAACCCAAGGGGCTCCAAGGAAAGCAAATGGAAAGGGGTTGCTAAGCAAACATAATCTGACTGCATAGGCACAGGGGGTTGGTGGGAGGAAGTCCCCACCCTGGCCTCTCCTGGCCTCCTTACCCTTTGTCCCAGCAACTGTCCGTGTTAGATAATAACGCCACCTGACAAAACCAGGGAGGACCGCTCTGACCAGACAGATCTTAACTCTGCTTGCCTCTGTGGTAAACAAGAGCACAGAGAGGTTAAGTGATTTTCTCAGAGCCACTTGGCAACTTGGCCTCTCTTCCTGTCCACCTCAGGTCAGGCTGCTGATGAAAAGCTACTCCTTCCTGAGAGAGACCGTGCCTGGGACCCTTCGTGTCAGAGGAGGTGAGGCTTTCAGCTGGCCCTGTCATGAACTCGGCCCGCTTAGCCGGTTGAAGAAAGCCAGTAACTGCAGTGTTCTCATGAAAGCTCTGCCTTCCCGTGCCATCTTGCCCAGCAGGCCCAGCTTTGGCCTTCAGTGGGCTCTGTGGGCTTAGTCATTAGGGTGTCCAGGCCCCACTTCTGAGAGATGCGCTCTGGTGCCCAGGACTTCTGATCCTCTCCTGCTCCCAGTCCCGCCTGGAGAAATGCAGGGTTGGGAATGCATATGAGGAAGTTAGGAAAGAAGGGCAAAGAGAATGGGTCGTGGCCCTGTGGCTGCTAAGTGAAGCTCTGGGCACAGTAGGCTCTGCATTGAAAAATGGGGTGCCTGGAATAGAAGCAAAAGCAAGGGTATAAGCCAGTGTGGTGGCACATGCTGTAATCCCAGCACTCTGGGAAGCTGAGGCAGGAGGATCACTGGTTCAAATCCCTACTGAACAACTTAGCCAGATGCTCTCTAAATAAATAAATAAATAAATAAATAAATAAATAAATAAAAAGAGCTGAGAATATAACTCTGTGAAGGCCCTAAATTCAGTCTCCAGTACTGGAGCAGGGGTGGGCAGACCCTATATCCAGCCCCTTGCCCATCCACCTGTGCACTCCCTAATCCCACTCCCCATACCCGCCCTCACCCTCCTCTCCTGACCCACCCTTCTCATTCCTCCCCAGGTGAGGGGGTCTTGGCCCCCAGTTTCTCCAGCTACCTCTACTTCCTCTTCTGCCCCACGCTCATCTTCCGGGAGACTTACCCCAGGCAAGACCCTGAGCTCCTCCCCAGATTCCCAGGCCCAGGGGGAACCTTGCACTTTTACTCTTCTCTGCACGAGTCCTTCTTGCCCCAGGCCCTGGCCACTTGCTCAGGACGCACCCCACAATAAAGATGGGAAGGAAGCCGGGCGTGGTGGTGCACACCTGTTATCCCAGTACTTGGGAGGCTGAAGCGGGAGAATTGCTATGAGTTCGAGCCCAGCCTCGGGTACAAAGTGAGTTCAAGGCAGCCTGAACTGTGTAGTGAGATTCTGTCTCAAAAGGACAGAAAAAAAAAAAGATGGGAAGGAAGTGTGAGGTAGATGCCTGTCCCCCTCATCGAGCCCATGATGGCACTAGAATGATCAACCGTCCTTGTTTGCCCAGTTCTGTTCCGATTTTAGTCCTGAAAATCCTACACATCTCGGGAAACCGGGAATGGCTGGTCACCTTAACTGACACCCAAGCTAAAAATTCAGTTGCCTTCTTT